ATGTTTGTGTAAATAAAATGATAACTATAGGGCTGCCTATGTGCTATTAGGTGAAATCTATGAAAAAGTTGATCTGTCATAAAAATGTTTAGATTAGCTGGATGGATAACCTTGGATGCAACAATTGGAATAGAGTTTGCATAAAAAACAGTAGCAATAAATAAACTATAAAACAAGATTAACAATGAGAGTGATTTTTATGATTGATCCAAGTTACATTAACAAAAATAGGAAAATTATTTTAATAGAAGCAATTATGGCAAATAAACAACTCTTACTAACATGGATTAGCAAACATACACTAAAGTTTAATGTTTTACATGCCCTTTACAAATAACAAGTATCTAATTTCTCATTTAACATTTGCCTTATAAGCTAAAATGCTGAATAAATATCAAATATTACTAGATTAGAATGGTTCCTTTATGAAATTTGAACATAATCATATTCCAAGAACTTGTGAAATACTACACGAAGCTATTGTGTTAGAAAGTATCTTCAATACATTTTGTACCAGGGTAAAGTTAACTATAACAAAATAGGAACCTCCGTCTGCTGAACGATTATTATTACTTTTTAATGAGTTGTCCGAAGCAATGATCAGCAATGATACAAATCTGAACTGAAACGTAAGTTTCAGCACTTCAAATTCATAAACATTCTCAAGTTTCAGAATATTTGCAGATTGAACCAATACACAGTAGAGTATGTGAGCCGGTCTTCAACTTCAAAACACAGTTTTGAAGTACAAAGATAGTTTTGGAGATAAAACTATATCAAGTCCCATGTCACAATTCATTTGTGGGCATGTAGTGGACCTATGAATCGTTTTGTTATTATGTTGTTGTTCTTTGACACATATTGAAAAACCGCTTTTCTTGTTGATTACTGGACGAATTGCTTTGAAATTTTCAATGGTTTAAGATTGATTTGCCTGAAGGCTATTACTTTCATGTATTTCCAATATTTCTGAGAGCTGCATGGAATTCATTTCTTTTGTGCTATGACCTCATCAAAAATTGCCACCATGTGGCGGTTCATCCGTGCGCAGCGAGTCACGAGGTCAGCGAACATTGGTGCTTCTAGTGTTTAGCGAACCGTCAAAGGTAAGCTGGACTACTGCTTCGTTCTCTTGTTGAAAGTGCAAACTATAAAGTTCTTGATCCCCTTTCTGGCACAAATAGACTCACTTCAGTCATTGCAGCAATATCCCTAAAGACTAGATAACCTTAATCTTCATATCTAAAATTATATCAAAATACTTGACAGAGTTTCAAGTAGCCTAGTCATTATAGACTTAATGTCATTTACGATCAAATTTTATAATGGAATTGGAAGTTCGGGGCTTTTACTACAGTTAATTGACATGACATGTGTCTCGCTCGGATTAACGATAGGATCTACATACATATCTATCCCAGGAGAGAGATAATGGACCAGATGGTGGAGGAAGCTGTAACCGACCAGCAGTTATGTGAACCACCCAACTGCGACGAGGAGTCCAGTAATCCTCTCGCACATAACCATGGGGTGACGAGCGTATTCCTAACAATCTCCACATTTACCCTGCGAACCTACACAGACTGACATAGTGTAAGTAATAAGAGGTGCGATGCCGAGCTTATTCCGCTCACAGGCTTAGCATGATGAGCCACACCACTGCTAATTTGAGACAATTCAGCAATTAAATATATCAAATGGTTAGAATGCATATTAACTTTTTGCTTAGGTCTGCGGAGTTCACTCAAACAGTCAAATGGCTTTAGCAGTTTCACTTTTTAGTTTATCGCTTGCTCCACACAAATGCTGCAATGTTACCAGTCCCAATTTGACATACCGTGTTCGTGCCTACATCTTGCCACACAATGATTCCACCGCGAAGGCATACCGGTACCGTAGTCCAATGATACGGTACCGTACCGGTAGTCTACCGTTACCATATTAATTAAAAGTTCAAGTCTTGGTACGGTACCGGTACCGTACTGTCCTTGTAATTACCACCAAAAACAATTGCCAGAGTAGCCTAATTTGAACCAGAAGAATGTTAAATCTCTTATTTTCTGTCTACTGCCATTCTCTACGCTGCCCATGCCGTCAAGGACTGGATTAGCATTAACAGATTAATGATGTAATGGGCCACATACCGGTACCGTACTCACTACGGTACGTACCGGTACCTATTACCGTATCCTGGCATATGCAGGTACATTCAGGCTACCGTAAGAGCGCCTAACTTCGGACAGTTCCTAACTTCGGACAAAATTTTTGAACTGCCATATCTTGGCTAAAACGCGCCGTATATTGCTAATTTTAATTATTATAGGTTGCGCTGTTATATCTACATCTATTCTCATCTTTTTTAATGTTTCATAATTATTTTTTTGGTAAAAAAACGGAAATTTTGCCGAAAATTGACTGCCCGGCATTCAACGGCGCAGAGCGTCGCTCCTACTGAAGCTATCATCGTCAAAATACCATCATTCGGTAGAGGGCGACAACAATGTATATAATTTATTTGAGTGATCGCAAGATGTCGTACGAGATTTAAATAAAACCTAAAATTCTGAATTATAAATTCCGTAAGAATATTAAGATTTCACGCAGCGTCAAAAATTACGTCCACCTCACGTAGATTATTTTTCGCTCACTTTACAATCGGATTTACCGTGTGTTTGATATAAATTATCATTTATAAAGATAACCGCGCAGAATAAAAAAAAACTATCCGTCGAGAATGTTAATACTTCAAAGACTTCGATAGAAGCCCGTTAAAATACTTCATTGTGGATTGAAACGGTTTGCATCAGATATATTTACGTATGCATTTCCTGATTAAAATGACTAACGTGTTATTATACTCATCTGAAGTATCGAAAATAACGAACGAAAGATGTAAACTTAGGACGACGGAAGTTTCAAATAATGCATTTTCGTCGTGACGTCAATGTTACGTTACGACGACGATCGAGCGTCTTATCTTCACGCAACGACGTGATTACGTCATCCGCATCGGAAGCCTCTTTCTCTCTGTGCGTCGCGGTTACGCAGTGAAGAAAATGACTGTCCGAAGTTAGGGCAGTGAAGGATAACGGTCAGATGGCAAGAAATATCGATTATTTCAATAGTAAAAATAGTCCAATTGAACCGAAATTTGCAGGGAATGTAAATTACCACACGAATGTTTTACCGAGCAATTTTGGCACCGTTTGGACAATAAATGGCCGAGTTATTGACGAAAATATAGTAATTTTGTCCGAAGTTAGGCGCTTTTACGGTACATGCTAAACTTAAGAACCTTAAAATGTTCGTACGGTACCGATGTACGGTACGGTAACACTGACACCATGCCCTTCACTTTCTCAAACGTCGCCATCCCTAGTCTGCTCCACAATTCGACCGCATTTTGCCATCCCTAATCTGCCACTACGCTTCGACCGCATTTTGCCATCCCTAATCTGCCACCACGCTTCGACCGCATTTTGCCATCCCTAATCTGCCACCATTCGACCGCATTTCGCCATCCCTAATCTGCCACGCTTCGACGGCATTTCGCCATCCCCAATTTGACTTTTCGTCCCTATTTCGCCATCCCTAATCTGCCACCTTTCGACCGTATTTCGCCATCCCTATTCTGCCATCCCCAATATGACTTTTATGCTACCACCACTATAGCGTTGTTCCGGAGTGAGGATTTTGCTGACTATCTAACCACGCATGTATACGGCAAGCGGCCACTGATATCTAACGATTTAAGAAAAAAAAAACTGCCGTAATATTAGACTATTTGTAAGAACTCTCTTCTGGGCTTGACATTGTTTAGATTTCCATGTTTCGGGCGAATAATTTAGTACCGTACCGGTACCACATGCACTTCTAGTTGGCCTGGCTCAACAATTTGGGTCTCTTTTAGTTTCGTACCTAACGTAGCCTACTTCACTACTTCAGGTGGGCGTATCATAACAATTTTTTGATATGTCAATCCTAACCCCCACCTCAATTACGTCATTACGATACCACAGTGACCTAATAGAGCCCTTCAAACTATACGAACTGCCATCCAAGACGCGCAAACGAGCACCCGAAATCGAACAGTTATTTTTCTCGTTGCAACGATTCCAATAGGAGAGAGATCGATAACGACAGTCAGTTCTTTATTGTCGGCGCCAATGCCATTTCGAGTGACTGTACGTATATTTGGCAAGCTCTATGGCGTGATTGGGATGTCGTAGTGCAGTAGTGACATAATTTTTGGATGGCGTAGTCAGATGGGGGTTAGGATGGACATATCAAAAAATTGTTATGCTACGCCGACTAAAAGTATGTTAGGTACGAAACTAAATGAGACCCAACAACCTTGCATATGTCATTCCTAACTCCCACCCGACTACGCCACCAAAAGATTATGTCATTGCGACCTCACAGTGGCGTAATAAGGCCCACCAAAGTATGAGGATAGTCGTCCACAACGCGCAGACGATCATCCGAAATCGAGAAAGCTATTTTTCTTGTCGCAGTGATCACGATATGAGAGAGATCGCCGGTGTTAGTGAGTATTTTATCGGCGGCGCAGATGTTATTTCGGGCGATCGTAACTATACTTTGGCAAGCTCTATGACGTGATTGTGACGTCATAGCTGCATAGTGACACCGACATGGATGGCATAGTCAGATGGGGAGGCGCATTTTTCAGCACTTCATGGCAGCTCCTACCACGAACGAACCGCGGCAGCTATTGCCATGGTTTTATAGCGCTATTCAGTAATCAGTATTAACGGTATATTCACAAATTAATGTACCGACCTACTGGCAGTACTAAAATGGTACTAGACCCAAAAACCAGTTTTAACTTCAGTAAATATAGAAAAACCGTATAACTCATAAAGGATCTTGATCTCACTGGATATAACTACTGAACTATCAGTGACTCGTAGTTTTTCAGTTATCTGGTTTTATGATTTCAGAAATTGGTATTTCCTTTCTACTAATAATAATCATTTATTTTCACAGTATTTTGCTTCTTAACTCTGAAACTTATAATGGAGACTTCAGCACAGACTGTAGATGAAGTTGTAGAAGGTGAAACTGAACAGCAAAATGAGAAGGAATTGTCAAAATTTGGCGTTGATATCTTACATGTTATCAAAGAAGCCCAAGCTCAACATGGTTTACGACATGGTGATTATCAGAGATACCACGGTTACTGTAACCGAAGGATAAGGAGATTAAGAAAAGTTCTCGGTTTAAAAATGGGAGAAAAGAAGAAAGTTGTTCCAAAAGTTATCAATGAATCTCTTATGACAGATTCAAGGTACATTCTCCTGATAGTTATGGCAGTTGAAAGGGCATGGAGTTATGCAATGCAATTGAAACAAGAAGCGAGTGATAATTTACGCAAACGTCACCATATGATTCAAAGAATGAAGAAAGCTACCTTTCAGGCTGAACATCTCAATAATTTATGCGAAAAATCTCCCATTGTTGATGCAAGAACAAAACTGGAAGCAAAAGCATATGCATCGTACATAAATGGTATTTTTTGTTTTGAGTGTCAAAATTGGAAAGTTGCGATGGAGCTTTTTAACGCATCAAAAACAATTTATGGCAAACTTTGTGAAACAAAATCAAAAGAGGAGCGTGTTATTTATGACCAAATGATGGATGATATATCACCGAATATAAGATATTGTGCATACAATATTGGTGACCAGTCTGCGATGGATGATCTACTTCAGCTTCGAGCTTCTCATAAACAAGATGTGCTATTAGCTGATAAGCTTGATTCTTTAGTAATTCAAGCAAAAGAGCAAAAAGCTACATCAATGAGTGAGTTTGTGTGGAAAAAGCACACCATTCCTGTGAAAAATAACAAAGTTAGGATATTTTTGTTATCTCAAAAGTCATTTGAAAAAGAAATGGAAGAAAATAAAAGTAAAGAAGAACAGCTTGAAATGTTTGAATCTATTCTAACTGAATGTAAAGATGCATTACAGTGTGTTCGTGAAGAAATTAATCTTGACAAAAGTCGAGATAAAAATGTGGTTTCAAACTTGGATCTATTGTATACCTATCTGAACTATACTTGCATCTTAATGACAGTCAAAAGAAATTTACTGATGGCAGAGGATCTTGAATCCAAATCTCCAGCCAGGTTGACTGTTCTGAAAAGGAACGAAATCACTGCTGAAAGTACAATGCAGTCACCCAAAGCTAATTTGTCAGTACGAAAAGTGAAATTGAGCGATTTTATTCGACTTTATGACATCATCTTGCAAAATATACTCGAGATTCCAACCATGAAAGGATTATCAGAAGACCTTGACCTCTTAGATGCAATGTCGACCCAGGAACAAGCTTTCAGGGGTTTAAAATGTTTTTATGTTGCTGAGGCATATGGTGAACAAGGTAAATGGAAAGAAGCAATGGCGCTGTATGAAAAAGTTCTGACACACGCCAAGAAGGCCATCGACGGATTAAAAGGAATTAATAGAGGTTCAGAGGAACACTTCATCAATGTTGAACAACTCGATGGCCTTGTTGAAACTATTGCATTCAATAAATACCACGTTCATGCATCTGCGGTTATGCAGGCGAGCGAGTCCACTGCAGAAAATGATGAATTTGAAAGCAAGATGTTGCAGCCAAATGAAGTTTTTATGGATAATTTGGACAATTACTTTGACAGCAGTTCCTTCCCAGCCCAGGCGTCTAGCGGTTCGAAAACAGCAGAAGTTTCCCCCAAATTAACTTCTCATTTTCCACCATCTTTTGTTCCTGTTCCGAACAAGCCTCTGTTTTTTGATTTAGCCCTGAATCATGTAACTTTCCCATCACTAGATGATAAAATTGCATCAAAAGCCAAAGCTCAGGGCATTTCTGGATACATTAAAAGTTTCTGGGGTTGGGGTGGAAAGAAGTAAAAATCTCTTTGTGTTTATAATTGGATAACAATCATGGGTGTGTATTATTTTATCTTCAAATCAAGGAAATTTGATTTGGGCTTGAGGTTTTATTTTAGGCAATATTCATTGTGTATCAGATTTTTTGTGTTGTGACAGGATTTGATGAAAGACTCAAAAGTTTTTTAATTTTTTCTTTTTAAGGACAGTTTTAGAAGATTTATAATACTCTTTGAAGTTATACTTATAATGGGACCCAGACTACACTGAACCCAGTCAAATCTAATTTTGAAGAAGACAAAAAGTTATATTTTATGACAAATTATGGACACTCTGTTATATTTTGTGGGATTTTTATTAGTAATTATATTTCAATTCAGTTAGGAGATCACATTGCTCATTCAACAGTAATGACTAATATTTGCCCTATGTCGTTCTTCAAAATAATAAGGTAGTACACCACTGTCATGGACAACACTTTTTTGACAGTAGGCTATATGAGATTGTGTTTCACAGAAACTTATTTTGAGTGGAGTATGTTTTAGTTTTGGAATATTTATTTTGTGCCCGGAATATTTTTTGTTGAACTCCCTTGGGTGGGGTGATGTATTTTGCTGATGGTGTGTAAAATAGCATTGGAATCTAATGGAGGCTATGGCCTGCTACCGTCACACCTCAATGTTAAAGTCTATTTGAGACGCTTTTGCGCAGTGACAAATAAATGAACAGCAGTCTTGTATTATGAATTCACGGAAGCATTGTAAATTAGTCAATACATATATCACAACAGATTGAATTTAAGGTGACCATCCTTGTAGTTTTTAGCAAGGACCTGTTGGTTGTGAGAGACAAGATGCAATAAAATTGTTGTGGAAAACTGGTGGTCTATTTATTTTCAACATGTTGTCGACGGCAAACATTTGTCCCTGTTTTTGCTTTACCTTTCAGATTACCTGAGCTGCGTGTAATGTGAAGGATAAAATTATTTCAGTCCAGTTATGTGTTTCCTAATTTTTGTGAACCTACAGAACCAAATCAACCCTTTATTAAAGGAAAAATTATTTTGTGCATGGCTTTAAAAAGTGCAACCGGCTTCAATTATATAAAGTGTTATTAATTTGTTACGATTTCAAGGGGGTGTCAAACACACCCAGGTGCGCAAATCGTTAAAACAGCATAAATTGCAACTAAAGAACAATTAATTGCACATGATCATCTGACCAAGACTTTTGACAAACCATCGAAATCATTCTGGTTTAACAATTGGTTTCAACAAACTGTGTCGAAATATGTATATATGTTTATTAGTCATGTAGTAGTAAGCAATATAAAAAATTGACAATTTTAATGTTGGAAACGGGACTCGTGCACAAGACCGTACTGGCCTAAAATACAAATGTGCGACATGCACCCCTTTTGACAAGTCTAGAACAAAAAATGCTTTTTATCTTTTCTACATTTTGAAAGTGGGGGGGGGGGGGGGGGGGTGCGGTTCCGATTCACAAAACCACCCCTTCGGTACGTCGCGGCCCCTGGATGCCATCTTCGGATTTCCCCTCAGTGATCGGCATCAAAATTCTATAGTAACAGATTCGAACATAACCACTCACCAGCAAATTTTACATTATAAAGCTTTTTTCTAAACTTTTCTTAAATTCAAACATAGCACCTAGTCCAGGAGTGGGCAACCTTTTACGGCTGGCGTGCCAAAAACGGCTAAATTTAACCACAAAATTCTTCGGCGTGCCTACCAAAAATGCTTTGCTACTTTCAAAGCAAAGATACACAATAATAAACCTTTTAAACATGTACAGGCAGATTCACTATTCAGGAAAATATCAGTCCAACGAAAAAGATTCGAAACTTTTCTTATTTCATATCAGTAGAACTGATGCTACTGCATCATCGCTGATAGCGATTTTACACTGAGTTTATATTTTGTAACTTTCAGAGAAATACACGAACTACTGGTTTCATCTTCCAGGCTACTCCTGTTATGTGACTAAATAAAGTTCATATCCGATAACAGATATTCACTAGCATATGTAGATGAAACATGGAGAGTAATGCAGTTGCAAAGTTTCGAGAATGGCATCCCACTCAAAATAGTTCGTTTTCTGGACTCTCTCTTGTATTCCCTTCCAAAATCGCTTACCGTATATCTCTTTCGAAATTAATTTATAACAGTAAGTTAGAACCCGGTATGTTAGTCGTTGGTTGGAAAGTAACTCTAACCAACATGAGCTATATAACTTCATAAATCAAGCAGAAATAAATAAAAAGGGTGGCACAGACGAACTATATCATGTAAGAGTGTAGCCATAACATACTTATTGCTTTGTAGCCAAATGTCATGAAAGGACAAAAAGAGTTTTAATAAATAACGGGTTTGCTAACAAACGAAAATGAATAAACGGACAGCGAGTTTCATTACATAATTCAGAATCTTGAAACTTTTTATCTGAAGATGAATGTGCTCGTTTCCGAGGCCTCCCTCGCTTGCCGAATAAATGGGCTCGCGTACCAAGATCAGCACGCGTGCCAGGACCAGGAGTTGCCCAATACCCATCCCCGACCTAGTCCTTGTAGGATGTGATTATTAAACACGGGTTTGAAGCCAGTAAGTGCCAGCAATTATGTATTGTAAGTAATGTTTAACGTTTATTTTTTCCAATAATGATGCAAAACTGCCTCAAGGAAGATAACTAAATAAGATTTAAATCCATTTTAATAAAGACACTATTGAACAGTGACAGCGCGCTCATTTACCTGTATCGGTACATTTGCTTTTTGCATCTATGGAGAGTGGAAGTGGTGACTCCTCTTCGGCCCATGGGCCGGGGCCACGGCCCATCAAATTGGGCCTCGACCCATCAGGCTATGGGCCGCGGCCCATCAAGTTGTGTAAAGAAACTATTCACTTGGCTAACACAGACAGTCCCCAAACTGATAATAGAACTATAATGTAAAAAATCTGAACAAAATTTTGCCCTAACCCTAACCTGGTACACATACTACAGGAGTTTAATTTTTGGTTCGAATATTAACAATTTTGTAAAAATTGAAAATTTTGGTAAGATAATTGAATTTTTCCTGACGGGGCCGCGGCCCATAGCTTGATGGGCCACGGCCCATGTGGCCCAATTAGATGGGCCGTGGCCCCGGCCCATGGGTCGTAGAGGAGTCACCACCCCTGTAGTCTATGGACATTGAGCAGCATACAAATCAATAGACATTTGCCTCCCCGGTCATTCATATAATTCTATGTGATAATTCTGCGAACAACTATTAGGCAACATGCAAAAATTATAGACATACTGTAATTACTGAATTATATTTAAAGATTTGTTTACTAGAGTAGAGAAAGAGGCTCTTTTTAGAAGATAAGTATTACCGGTATCGTCTGTAGATAAAGTGAAGCTGTTCGTCCACAGAATACATTAACAGTGGGGACATGGCAACGCGTGATTTTACGTTTTTCTTAACATCATTTGCGATTTAAGTTTGTAAAAATGAGAAGTATAAAAGAGTAAAAGACGCCTGTAGATATGCAGACATTTCTTTCAGTGCAGGCACCAGCATATGTAACCCAATAATTATAATATTGACTTGGCAACCACAGGGTTGTAGCTAAGATATCTGGAGCGTTTTGTTGTGCTTGTAGCGGAATTCTTAAAGGCAGAAAGGATCGTTTTTTAGGTCTGATTGTGGAGCATATCCAGATCTCTGCATATAGCCTACCTGTGGCTGTAAACAGAGGGATGTGGACAACTCGACAACACGGACAACTCACCAGAGACAACTCGACTACAGATACCGAATTATGGGCTCCTTCTGTCTTTCAGTCTTTGGTATGTGCTTCAGCTGGGTGTGCATAATTGTGTTTTATATATCAGTATACTGGTATATGCTGGAAAAAATAAACACACATCATACAGCCATATGCAGATATGCCATACGAGTCCATGCAACTGAAAATAAATAACTGGCTAACTAGTATTAACTAATCCAATACCGGTACTCCATATGCAGATATGGACTGGTGACCGGACTGTGAGGCCGTGATTCGCCATATTATTACAGGATTAAGTCGTCTTGTCTTCCTTCCTCTCCACTGACTGACTGAGATGAATATGTAAATCATATTGAGATAAATATATGTAAATCGCACATCTCAAATTTTGTGGCATCATGGATCTGTGGATGGTGCGGAGACACACCGCATGAGGTAGTACGCTATGTTCCTAATCATGCGTTCCATACTGCCTCATTCAGACATGGTTAGCATCACTCTCAGACTTTGCAAACTCTGTCATGTTGTCACTCACTTTGCGACAAATGCTTGTTTCTTTCATCCAAAACCATTCCTAAAATTGCTCCTATGTCTCATTTTCTTTTGCTAGTCATTAAAGAAATAATTTATGATTATATGTTCATCCTGCTTGAATAGACAAACCTGAACCATCTGACTATTCTCGCAAGCAAGTCACACCCCTATGCATGGAATGGCATTATTTCAGTTGCTACTCGGACTTGTAATACTTGGGAATGTGGCAGAAGCATTGTTGGATTCATCTCCATTAACAAAATTTCAACCAGAAATTGGTATTGTTCAAAATTTACAAAAGCAGCATATATGGAAATCAGAGCATGAAGTACAGGAAGTTCAGGATCTGTTGTCAAATACTTATAAAAATCTAATAACAAGTGTCAAATTGTCATCAGAAGAAAATAGCACAGATTGTATCAAATCACTTGTTGACCTCTCTGTTGATGCTGTATTCCAACAAAAGTATGCATTACAAGGTAACCAAATGCGCTATCATGGGCATAAGAATAATTTATGTCAAATTTGAGTAAGTTACTTATGGTGATAATTATTATTGTTGTGCTCAATATATCAATTTTAATAATATTCAAAATTCTTAAATTATACTGGAATAAAATTCTTAAAATTAACAGAAAGTTTCCATTTTTAAATGGTGTTTTGATAATTTTTGTTTATGAAGTATATTTTACATCTCGTGATTTTTAATTGAGCAATTACTTATATTTTGCTGCTAATTTTCCCATACTAGACATGGACTGGTAACTAGACGAGAAGCCATGGTTTGCCATATGATTGAGCTATCTTATTCTCTCTCCCAGGATGAATATGTAAAACCGATAGTAGCATATATAGCAGGGTTTCCCAAACTATTTGAGCCGTAGATCCCTATTTGTGATATTGAGTTTTGACGGACTCCAATTCTATGCCGTTTTAATTTCTGTGTCTAACCAAGGATGAAGAATAGTGTTTCATTCACAACACAAACGGCATTAATCTCGGAACAATTTGTAACAAGCAAACTCATAGACCCGACTCAACAGTGAGGGTCGACCTGTATTTTTGTCATCATATTGGTAAGAGCTGAAAATACTGACTCGCACATGTAGGTCATTGCAGTAGGCAATATAATATATTCAATTGCCTTTTTTAACAGCAAAGGATATTATTCCGCAACGTTCAACCAGAGAGATGCAATTTGGCTTTTTGATTGTAATAAATCATTAAAGATCGATCAGACTCTTCTCATATCACTGCGAACCCCCTTAGTAGTCATCACGGATCAATAGGGTCCGCAGACCCCATTTTGGGAAACCCTGCTTTATAGCATTTCATATAGCTTAAATACGAGAAGTGTTTAAAAACCTTGTGACGCTTTGAGGTTCTGGACACTTTACATTCTCCTTCTATATTATGCTCTTAACAATTTTGCAAAAATTTATAGTACTTGATGCCTCTGGAAAGCTTGAAAGTGGAATTATGATGGGGAATTACAAGTGGGATGGCTTATATTATGAATGCCTTAAAGTTAAAAAAACGAAGTTTGATGGAAAATGGTGCGAAACAACCTTGGGAACAGAATACGACATACTAGGAGTAGGGATATTATTTGTTTTTAATTAACCAAATAAACCCCAATATTAAATTATTTTATTGATTTTTAGTATATTTTACCTCATTCCACTGATTATCACATAATTTTGGTTTAATATTACCCAAATAATGTGTTAATAGTGGTTGCTCAAAACTATGTTCAGAGGAGATCTTGCTTATAATAATTCCTATGAAAATCTTATATCTGGTCATTGCTGTTTTTTCCTAGAAACACTCATACATACCACAAAGAATGGAAAAATATTTCTATAATGAGTTTATAATATATTATAGATTTCAAGAAGTTTAACTTTCAAGTTTTGTCAATTTAACCATAACTGATATGAAATCCCATAAAGACATTTAATAAAACTTAAAATTACATGTTTATGGTATCTGAAACAGTTTTCATTTAGAAATCGCTCTTTTTTTTTTCAAAGCAAAAGCAAACTTTCGGATTATCATTGGGAATGTGCCTTCCAAGTAGTTGCTCAGAAGAGTTTATTATAGATCATCTTCAGTCTATTGCCAATGCCTCCAATCAGAAAGTTTCTGTTGATTGCCCTATTCAACCAATCGGATGGACAGCAATAGATATATTCTCTTTGTGAGTATTTTTTATACAGCACTTGTTCATGTTTGGCTCTGAACAAGTCCTTGTACAAGCAGCTACTGATATATTACAGCAGGGGTGTGCAACCTTTATTACAGGAGGGCCAGATACAAATAACTAGGTGAAACACCTTTATTTAACATAGGCTTACCAGTAGATGCAAGCACAAAAACTTTGATTATTGTTCGTATGACATACTTCGTTCGCTTCGCACAAGCTCAGGTGTAGGCTTTGCAACACAAAAGAAATTGAAATCACTCACACATACTCGTTTTGCGGGCAAGACACCATTAAAAATTTGCACTTTTTTGCGGTCCACAAAATTTTTCTTTCTTTCTTTGCAAAGTTGATATACTTTTTTTGCTGTGGTAGAGCTTTGGATCTATACCCTGTCCCCCTAATAATGCAACATACCTTGTTTTGAGTAAATCTGAACTATTTTCATAAACAAATACATAGAGAGTCAGGTTTTGCTACATGGATGGCCCAAGCCCCCAAATACATTGGATGTTTTTGAAAATACATGAATGAATTTTTGATTCCACTAATAAATTATGGTAGCCTACTCTTTCGTGTAATGTTTGAATCAATTTCTGATAACTGTAGCTACAAAAACAGGAGGCCTATCAAATAAAATTATTTGATAATATAATTTATTGAAAAAGGGACAGAATGAGAATCATTGTAAACTAATCGTGAGAAAATGGAATAATATTTCTTATGACATACACATCTGTGATAATAAGAACTCCGCCCAAAATCTGTTTTCTGAAAATAATTCTCACCTTTTTATTGATCACAGTGAAATCATTATATTTCATCTTTTTTTCAATAGCATGCCATTATTGATGTATGGTTTGTGCATGCTCTGCAATAATCATTCAGTAAATTAATCCATGATAGTGATTAGATCTCACAAGGAAAAATCGATAGTAATTTGAAAGTATATTTTTATTCGAAACAGACCCAATTTCATCCTTTTAAATATACAGTTACCACTAATGTCTAAAATTGGAATCAATTTGATTTCATTTTAGATAACAAATTCACATTCGCACTATTTGAAGACATTATTATCGGAGAAAATGAGTCAATAAGTAGCACAAGCACCCATTATGTATAATTTCCATTGTTTATTTCTAATTGGTACTTTGATTTGATGATAAAAAGTTAGTATGTGGTTTGCAACTCTTCCCCGTCGGTTACGCCCTAAATTAAATTTCCATTCACCGACCACAATAAAATTTAGTAATAGCTGATAAAGGTATGCTTCTATTTGTTATCATCCCATTTTATTTTGATATACATTTTGTTATGTTGATGGAAATTTAAATTGGTTGAAGTCGTGTTACACCATGAAAAATTACGCCCATAAGACGTAAGAAATGACATACTATATTATTCTTGGAAAGAGCGGAATCTCCACAGATTGACATCGCCTTACCAAATTTATTACACCCTGGATAATGTGGTGGCCATGGGATTCGAACCTGAGAACATGCGACGCCAATATGGATAAGTGTAACGCTTAACCATTAGGCCATTGCGATTTCATTGTATTTTTAAATTCAAGTTTTACTCGTTAATCGATTGCTCTCAAATATACCAAAAATTATACGCACCTTTAAAATGTATTATACCAAAATTTTAAAATATTTAGGCTGACTGATAACTTTGCAGAGAGACTATGGTCCCCTGTTCAATTTTGAAACCCTGTTTGATTTTGTCACCATTACCATTTTCAGCTTCATATTCTGTCTCCTACTTTCTTTTGTTGCATTTGGAACAATGGTTGATCTATTTGTTTCTTGTAAAAATCAAAAAAATAGTGGAAATCTTTCTGTCAGTGGAGATGGAATCTATGGAGTGTCATCAGAAAGTAATTGCACCAGTGAATCAGGTGGGTTCGCTCAATTAAATTTCAGGATAAAAGGGACCTAACACACTTGAAGAATTTTTAGCTTTGAATCTTTTTTGTATAACCTTCCATTTGTTCTGCCTTTCATGCATCTACTTTTCGAAAAAAATATATGTTAAACAATGCATGATTGCTTATGGTTAGGCCATAATTTCAGGTATAAATACTACGGGAGTCACTTGACTAGTCCCCGAACTCGTAATAGAACTGAAATAGGAAAATTGGAATAAAATTATGGCCTAACCCTAACCTGGTACACATACTACGTTCCGGTGCCCGCCATCTTGGTTCACATACTTCGGGAGTACCGATAAGCATGTATTACTGTCCCACTCCTGAATATCTAGCGTGGGTTCAAATTTTGTATCTTGTGTGGGATAGGATTGTTGGTTTGAATATTGTATTGTAAACTAGAAGGGCCATGGTTTGTGATATGATTAAGCCGTATTATCAGCTTTCTTCTCCCCCTGAATTACATATGAAAATCTTGTCACAACAGATAGTTGTTCTATCATTTCAAGAAAATTTATTAATAAGACTGAGTTCTTGCTTTATAATTTTTATCTACAAGAAATTTATTAAACTAGAAGTGATCTAATATGGAATTAATAAATGAGAAGCTGACTCTATTTGAACTCTGCCACAAAAGTAAATTAAAACAGTCAAAGGAGGACTGGCACAACTTGTATTCACCAAAAATGTCATGTCTGTGATTTGTACAGATAACCTTTGCATTCAAAGAATATCAGCAATATCTGTAGTACCAATATTGCTCTAGGAGTCTATTAACCATCATCATATATTTGCATGGAAAATGATGTCATACTTTTAAGATCATGAATATTAGCAATGTAAGTGTAATTTAGCCCTCATGATAAAATAAACCATACATGAGACCAACATGCCATTTTTGGTCGGTAATGATTTGTTAATCAATCAAATGAGAAAATATTAATCACAAATAAAGGGCATTAAGCATTTTAAATGGCTTGTATTTTATCTTGTAAATTGTATTCTGTAACTTTTTGTCAGACCCCCTTCAAAAAGCTGTTTAAAACAATGACTAAGCTTTCCGCTATATAATATTCTCTTACATAAGTGTGGTATACCACCTTATTGAGAGCAAGCTCTGAATAAGGGGATGAACATTTTAAATCAAATATTCGAGTCGAATCGAATAGTAAATTATTTGAAACGTCGCCATCTTGTTTTTGTTTTTGTCCCAACCTCGTAGGTCAATATGATTTTGATCATTTTTATTCATGTCAAATTTTAAAATGCAATTCTGACATTTTTCCTCTGACTTTTTTCTTCCGGGTGAGTTAGGCCTATTAATTAAACATGTTACTTATTGTGTGTGAACACTCTGTCTGGGTGATAGATTACTTTTTTCACTAATTTATATATCTTAAGGATGCAATACAATAAAACGGTCAGTATTTGAGGTTCGATTCGAAAAAAATATTCGATTCAATTCCGAAATCATCAGATATTTGAAAATCCTCAGCGCTACTTTCTACATTGTTATCACTGATACTTATTATCACTTTTGATATCATTCTATATAAATTGAAAATAAGTATTAAATTTCTTTATTTTTTTAACAGTGTGGGTAAAGGTAGCTCGTGCATTTTCCATCATCGAAAACACAAAAATTCTTCTGAACACTGACAACAAGCCCGGAACGATTGATGTTTTGCATGGAATGAGGTTTCTTAGCATATCATGGGTTGTTTTGGGACATACCTACGTCATGACATTGTTGTATATAGGTGTGTTCATTTTTATGGGAATCGTGTGAAATGATGTCAAAAAAAGGTTCACGTTCGCTGTGATTGATTTTTAAACTAACATATTTCTAAAACAATAAATGTTAGAAACTGGCTTAAGAGATTGGGAATTGTTGTTAAGAAAGTAATCATTTTTTCCTTCGATTTTTTTTTTTCAACAGCTAAAGTTTTATTTTAGATGTTTAAAATGTAAATTTTAGCATTGCCACTGGGCAAATAAGCAGTGGCATTAAATATACATGAATTGTCTATTAAAACAATTTGCTCAACAAGTACAAGATATTTGACATTTTTAGCCGGGCATCTTTCCAAATTTAGTATTGATCCATCTTTTCTTGAACTTGGCTTATCTCAATCAGCCATGGAATATTGAAGCATCAGAAGAACAAGATATTTGACATTTTTAGCCAGGCATCTTTCCAAATTTAGTATTGATCCATCTTTTCTTGAACTTGGCTTATCTCAATCAACCATGGAATATCGAAGCATCAGAAGAACGTATCAATCGTTTTGAAATTTGTCCAAACTGAATTGTTTCTACATCCGAAATCAAACAGTTTATTCTTTCAAATATATTATGAAAGAATAGTTCCAAATACATAGTGTTGAATATGTTTTATTTTGGGCTATTGTTGAAAGAAAATATGCAAATTTTTCATTATATCTCTGTAGATAGTATTTCTTGAAGCATGAGACAAAAAGCTTTTTTGTTTAATTACTATTTGTTGCAATTATTTGAATTTATAAGTTTACTGTGGTAGTCTCCAATTGGTGTCGCTGATTAGACGATGGTGTCGCTGATTAAGTCTTTCGCGACCCCTCGTCAACTGCAACAAGCCGAAATTCGTAATTTGTGATTTTATTTATTTATTATTTCATATATCGTGTACTGTTTTTTGCATAACGAAAACAAAAATCTGAATACAGAAAAAGGATATAAGAATTATTATTCTTGGAATATTCGCAAGTTCCCAAATTTATATTCTCGACCAGCTTATCCATATATGTTCCTTTTTGGTTTTGTTCTAAACAATTTAGCTAACCCTATTAAGCGAAATTTGTTTTTGTTGCAGATAATAGCATTGATCTTATCAACTGGCTTATTGAATCATTCTCATTTCAAACTGTATCAAATGCTTCTTTCTCTGTCGATACTTTTTTCTTCTTAAGTGGATTGCTGTGTTGTTATTTGGGTTTAAAAGAAGGAAAACGCAAGAATGGAAAATTAAATGTTCCTTTGATGTATCTGCATCGATATTTAAGGTAGCTGTTATTTATTGATATTCACTATAATCAATCAATTAATATTTATCATTTATCTTGCAAGACCTGACCTGTCTGTTCAAAAATTGAATCTGACTTTATGAGGTATTCTCTCACTTTCACTCTTTACAAGGCTTTAAACAAGCAGTTTATGCAGCTACCCTCACTCTAAGCAAGCTTTTTCACTCATTTGAGGAGCTACTTCGAGCTTTTACTCTGAATAAGGCTGTTTATAAGCCATCATTATAATTGAAATCTTTTCATTTTGGCTTTCGCTGCCCAATCCAAATACACACTGGGTTGGTTGGTGGACATGGGTTTCGAGCTTGAGGCCCTGACCTACAATGCAAACTTAAGTTATTTTTCATAAAATAACAGTAAAATCCTATACAGGATGTCCAAAAATTTCGCCCGATTTTATAGTAATAACAACTGAGTTCAAATAAATTCGAATGTATGATAAATCAGAACTGCAAGCGTAATAAGAACTATTAATAAACAAAGACAATAAAAAATTTTAATTGGTATTAGTTACTTTACAATCAAACAAAATTTTTTGGACACCCTGTATTAATAGATTTTGCCATTTCTTGCTCATCCATAATAGGAATTGACAAAGACTTGTTGCACTACTCACATTACTCATTTCAATTTTCAGATTGACTCCAGCCTATGCTTTTCTAATTCTCTTTCTCGTTGGATTTTATAGTAAGTTAGGAGATGGGCCAATGTGGCCTAATCATGTTAATGGCACAAGTGCTATTTGTCATCAATACTGGTGGACTAATTTACTTTATATCAACAATCTTTATCCTACACAATTAAATGGAGAGGTAAGAGAGAAAGAACTGCCTAGTTGTCTTACAATGTTTCTTATTACGTTATTAGCATTTTGTTTAATATAAATGACTTCTATAATTTGAAATGCATAAAATACATACTCTTGATATTTCGAGCAATGTGGATAGAATTAATAGGTTTTTATATTTGAGCTGTTCAGTTGGATTGTTAATATGATTGAACAAGAGACTCTCACCTGGTTATAGGATTGATTATTTACATGCTTAGATGCATGGGCTTCGATGGAAGGCAGTCTGCTCTATGACTTATTCCGGTGTTCTTCAAATTTTTTCTAAACCACCCACTTAGCACGGCCAAATTTTTTCGTGATCCAGAGGAACTAGAATAAAAATGAAATAAAATTTTATAATACTGAGAAAAAGCAATGAATTTGACAATACTTGTAATGAGAGTGATGTGCTTGCACAAACTCGCGCAGAAGAGCGAATCTTGACTCTATTTTGATGATGGTAGGTCTCAGTACTGGTTCCAAATTTTTCAAATTTGATTTTTGACTTGATATTTTGTTTTACCATAACTCAGTGTCAAAAAAGATTTTACTGTGACCCACATTGAGCCATTTCGTGACTCAACTGGGGGTCGGGACCTCCAGTTTGGAGTGCCTTGATTTACCCAATACATAGGCTAATCTACCCTGCAAATGTGAGGAGTCCGGTAATCCTCTCGCACATAGATCTTCCCTACAGGATTCGGGAGATTTTTCAACATTTAAATCTGTCCGCGGACAACTGTTTAAAAAAGATAACCTTCAAAGTAGCCGGCCGCTGATAGTTAGGAATGACTTAGATTGTGTCACCAAAAGAACACAGCTGAAATTTTTCAAAAAAGACTTTGAAAAAGAAACTCATAGCATAGTGATAGAATTTTTTTTATTTTACTGTAAAATTTTGTATTTTATTTTTTTTAGTGCATTTCAATGTCGAATAATCTTCAATATAAATTTGTTCTTTTTTCAGTGTTTCGCTCTGGCATGGTATCTAGCTAATGATATGCAATTTTTCCTATTGGCTCCAATATCTATTATAATTTTGACTAGGTGAGTAATAGTTTGCCCTTTTTCAGACTGGTTTAGACTTCAACTTTCATTACTTGAGCAGGTTTGGGCCATTACTTGGAAATTGTAAAGACTACAGAAACTACAGAAAGATTCTACTTAATGTCAACCATTATTTAGCCTTCATATACCCTTGTTACGATTTTTTTACTGGTTTAAAAAAATAAACTTGACTTGAAAATTGAAATGCATGATAACTTATGTAATCATGACTACTTATAAAATCTTTTTCAACAACAGTGTGAAGCTTCTTCTAAAAATGCTTCATTTTTTTCATGCTCAGGAGGCCAAAAATTGGAATCAACTTGCTGGTGTTTGGAATATTCAGTAGTCTTCTAGTTAGTGGTGTGATATCTTCTCATTATCAACAGCAACCACAAAGCCTCGGTCTTTCTCTTTTACTGAGGTAATTTTTATGAAATTTGTTTCAGGATAGATGATTCTTTATTTGACTCACTCAGCATTTGATTTAATGATAATCTTTATTTAATTTGTACTGATTCTGAAATATCATTTTAATTCTACTTATATTAGTCAATGGTTAAATCGATGGAACTAGCATTGTTGACTTGCCGGTGGAAGGTCTCTTGTTCAAATCCTATACCTCATGGTGGGTGTATTAAATTTGGTAGTCAGTACCGGGAATATATCGATCTTTTTAAATCAGTGGTCGAACTTTTCAAGCTGCGGCCTCTTTTTAGAATCTGTCAAGTCTTGCGCCCCACCTCAACAATACCTAACTAACAATAAGCAGCAAATAACAGATAGTAAAGCGAAAGTATGTTTTATTCAAAAAATCCATCGAAAAAACTTGGATGGAACATAAATATCCAAAATAAAGAAATGTAGATATCCAAAATGATGCGGGGAAGATCAAATCCTACAAATATTTTTGTTTTTAATAAGCCTCACGCCCTCTCAAAAAATTGTCTACATCCCCTTTGTGGCAGGTGCGCCCCACCGTTTGAGAACCACCCTCTTGAGTAGTACCTTGACCACTGATTTATTAAATTTAATCGTTACTGGGTCAAATTCCTCTTATTTTCATCTAATAAAAATTTTTTTCAAGATCAGACTGGATAGATTAGGACCAGAGATATCATGTCAGGAGTTTAGCAATTTTTTATTGATTTTGGATTTTTGTTTTAAACTTTCCAAACTTCATAGCCATGATAAAGAAGAGGTTATTACTTGGAAAAATAATTCAACTTTTTTCAAATCTATTTTCATGTTCACTTGCATTAAATTATTTTTCAGAATGTTAATGAACCCTCCACCAACACCTGGTCCATCACCAAATGGCACCGATCATTCGGTTGGAATGAATGGGTTAGGAATGCCACCTATGTCACCTAAGGATACATTCTGGAGTGACTTATACACAAAACCTTGGTGTCGTATCCATGTTTACCTAATTGGGATGATTACTGGATATATTTTACATGCCACTAAATGCAAAATCAGAATGACTAAGGTTTGTTGATAGCTTCTAAAATTTGGATTATATGTTGGGAACGTTGGAGAATTAAAAATATACAATCGAATCTCCATATTTTGGATCAAACTTCAAGATAAAATAATATGTGGCTTTTACTCCATGATATAAAAATTTTGATTGCCGCTCCGATGAACGATCAAATAGAATTTTGAAAAAAATCTTTGTCTTGTGCAAGCTATCTTAATACACTGTTGGGGACTCTTAGTGAATTTCTGGCTCCGAATTACATGTCAGAACAAATTTGACCCGACAGGTTGGACAAGAACGGTCAAAATACTCATTTCCTAGGCTCTAGCATATCTATGTTTCATGTTGTTAATTTCTATCAATGTTATGTTATATTTATTAAGTACACCTTTATTGATCATTTTGCTTTTAAAATTTTGTATTGCTGTTATTAATTACTAGGCACACCTTTTTAGTAATACTCTATTTCCAGCTCTTTGTTGCGGCTGGATGGGCAATTGCAGCGGCTTTGAACTTGGCCGTATTGTACGGTCTTTGGCCATATGTGAAAGATGGTACAATGATGACGGTCAGTCTCTCTGCTTTCTACAATGCAATGTCTCGTCCTATATGGGCAGTCGGTCTTGCATGGGTGGTTATTGCATGTACATCTGGATATGGTGGTACGTACCAGGATTAATTTAGAATATTATACATGATATTTTGAATTCATGTTTTTACGAGTAATTTAGAATTAGTTTTGTTTGCAAAGTTTCTTTTCTGAGCAATAGGAGTCATTCAGTATTAGTTGACTTCGTTGCTAAACATAAATTTCCTTATTTAGAATATAATTTTATTAGTGATCCCAGTTTCCTCAAATTAATTTTTTTTCTTACAAATTAAATCATGATTATGAGTTGGGTTGTACGAGACTAACTCCCTATCCTTCCTTTATGCCTTTGGGCAATTGGATCCGTATGCGTATAATGCAAGGATGCTGTAGCAGGAATAAATATGATCATACTATGCAGTTCAAGAGTCCCACTGCGGAAATCTGACTTCGGTCAATCGAAATGTTACAAAAATACATTTGTGTTAGTGCGCAGCAGGACTCCTAGTAGTAAATCATGATTTTTGTCAATTTTTTGGAATTGTGCTAAATACTCGATCAATTCGAACAGGACAAAATTTTGGAAGTGCAAATAACTAAATAACTTGAAGATGAGGATAAGTTATCATTTTCAACACTATACAATTATGCTTCTCTTACATGCTTAGACTAGGAAGTCTGAATAATAATGTTGCCTAAAACTTCAGAGAGGTCCAATTTTCTAATTTCTAATTTTACAGGTCCTGTCAACACTTTCTTGAGTTGGAAGTTATTTGTTCCACTGAGTAGATTGACATATTGCATATATCTCGTTCATACTCTCATATTGTTCTGGTGGTTCTCTACTCAAGAGCAGTCTGTACATTTCTCCAATACCATGTTTGCATTTTACTATGTCGGTAAGGTGTTAATAGTACTCGTAAATCAAGATATTAAAATGTTTTTATCTTTGACCACTTACTTACCTGGACATCCAAAGCAAATATAACTTGCTGTGCTATCAGTATCAGTCTTCATAATTCTACAAGCTTGTAAATTATCCGTACTTGTTTCATTTTTACTAGAAGCGTAAGCACACTACTCGAGCATTGCTCAAGTATATGAAGACAAAGGTCAAGTGACTAATCGTGGTACCGGTAACCTATGCAGCTATGACTGAAATCCGTTATTTGATTATTCAAAATCATCAAATCTAAATTAATTCCTGCTGCCGCAGTAACGACAAGTCAGAAATACGGTTGGCGTAATGCCGTCTGACATAAAGTTTAAAGACAATTGGTATCATTAGTTTCAGAGAATAGATTCTTCATGTCAGGAATATTTAAATCAGGGGTGTGCAACCTGCAGGCCAAATGCGGCCAACAAGCAAAAATTGTGTGGCCCGCGGAGAAGTGCCAATTTTGAATGTTGTACGGCCTATTAAACGTGTTTTTTAGAAAAAATCTGGAACGCACGAGTACCGGTAAGTCCAATCCGCCACAATGGCCTAACAGCTAGCTTATGTGAAGCGAACGTGTCATAAGATGAATACCAAAATTTTTGTGCCTGTAACTACCAGAAAGTATATGTTAAATGAAGGTGCGACCCATGGTTTCACCATGTTATTTGTATCTGGATCTCTTGTATTAAAGGTTGCACACCCCTGATTTAAATGAAATGGAAAATTGCCTTATTGAGCGATTGAGGTCTCGCATTTTGACCAAGAAGGCTTTCTATTAATTTCTGAAACTTATCGAGTCACTGTCATCTGCATTACTGAAACAAACTTTTTTAATATACATTGTATATGCTCTTTGTTGGCAAATTTAGATATTCTATATTCTCGTAATCATGCTTAAATAGCAACTGTTGTTTGAGTAATCCCGAAGTATGTGAACCAAGATGGCAGACACCAGAACTCAGGTTAAGGTTAGGCTATAATTTCAGGTACAAGAACTACGGGAGTCACTTGGCTAGTCCTCGAGCTTGTAATAGAACTACTATAAGGAAAATTGGAATAAAATTATGGCCTTGACCCTAACTTGGTACAGTTCCGGTTCCCGCCATCTTATTTCACATACTTCTGGAGTATCGTTGTTTGAACATCTTCTCAGTCCACAATGCTATCTTTACATTACAGGTCTTTTGTTCATGTCAATATTTGGAGCATATTGTCTTTCTATGCTGATCGAGTCTCCATTTATCAGACTAGTTAGTCTGATCACATATCGTGGAAAGCAGAAAAATGTACTGGCAACAGGAGAAGATGTACAGGATCCACTCTTAATCAATGAAGTGCAACAAGAGGAATAAAGTGATAATAATTTTAAAAAGTAGAAACCATGAAATGTATATGATGTAATGTATAATTTTGGTAGAATTCAACTGAATTATAGATAACCTTTGCTGATGTTCTAGCATATTCATAGAATAATATCTTGGTAAACCATTAAATATTTCACGTTTGAAATTTGGTAAAATTCTCTCGTATAGCATATAAAAACCACAAACAAAATTACCAAAAATGGAAATGTGTATTACTTGTAAATAGCAGTAGTAATGCTTCAAAATTTTAACAACCCAAGTTAGTCCAGAGTTAATAATATTGGAGGATCAAGGATCACCCAATATTAATTGGTTATGATAATAGTATTATTTCAGTTTGTGTTATTTGAATTCAATTAGTCATTCATTATTCAATCATTTTCAATTTTGCATTATTATTTCAAAATATCAAATTTTTAGTGAAAAATCAATTTCTCTGCGTAGAGGGCAGAGTTAAAAATCAAATAGTTTTTTCATTTTCTCTGAATCCCTTAGTTCCACATATCGTTGCAAATGCCATAGTTCCGATATTTTAACATTTTTAGTCACATTGTGAAATTTTGAGGTTCCTGCTTTTTTAAATATAATATCAGTATCTTTACCCTGTGAGTTAATATCTAGCACCTATTTTTAGATTTTACATTTCATTTAAATATAGTTTTATAATTTGAATAATTGTATAGTAAATTACTGATTTTATAATAAAAAATTTGATATAATATAACCTTGATTTTATACAGCATTGAATTTTAGCAAACCTCACATTTATTTTCACTCATTGCCATTTATGAACTGCATCAATGTGGTGCATACAAATGTCTTACATCGCCTTGTTTCTGTAGTTTTTGTTTTCAAAACGCATATTGTAACACCAATGTGAAGTCTTTTTACCGAATTTTTCATGTCTTTTAATATCTGAATAGTTCCTGATTTTCAACTAAATATTTTTTTGGAGAGAGATTTTATACAAATGTCTGCAACTATTTTAGTGATTGCAAATTTGAGTATTTTGTCTGTCTGAGTCTCGCATCATTTGTCTGTGCCTTATTGTTTGTTTCATACTAGAAGATTTGTACTATGTGCCTGATATTTGTCGTCAGTCTATTTGTTGGATACATATCATTTTCTGGTTTGTATGGGTGTCTGGTATTATTGTCACACCATATGTCTGCTCATGCCTTATTGTTCATTTGTACTACAAGATTTGTAGTATGTGTCTGATATTTGTCTTGTGTATGTCTGATGGATAGACTTTGAAAGATCTTTTTGTTTGTTTGTATGGGTGTTTCTTAGTCTGGTATTATTGGTCATACCATACGACTGCTACCTTCCAATATCCAGGTAGTAGAAAATGGATGAGTATATCAGTCTTATCAAATATGTACATTTGGGAAAAACTTTTTATCTTTCATCTGGAACATCTGTATTGTATTTTATGTTAGTAAGTATATATAGAATTTACCTATCACTTTATGTTTTTCACTTTCATACTGGTGGGTCCGATCGCCAGCATATGTTTGCTAATGTTTTGCGAATTGTGAAGGCACTGTTACTTTAAAATTATCAGTTATAAAATCAGCATGAAAATAATTGATCAGCATTCTCTTACAATACATGCATACGGTAAGTATTTTATTTGTGTAATTCATTCATTTTCAACGTATATGCAGTAATGGTAGGCTATCTATTTTTTCTGAAATGTTTATCTGCTTAACTGTCTGCTGTTGTTTAATATGGTACTAAATATTGGAGATTAAATTTATAGATTGTTCCTTCGACATTAATTGTTAGGGCCAACGATCCGAGCGATTATTATGATGACTCCGACCTTAAACAGTCTAAACCCAGATTCCAATCTCCACAGAACTACTGAGCTTAAAAGTATACCATACTCACTGGTTGTTCACCCGGCTTCCCCTGTTATGGTTGCTGGGAATTCCCCTTCAGTTGCTAAGTTTCTGCAGCGTCCTGCCAGTCAACATTTTCATATTGTGATTGCGATCACCCGAGCATGACGCTGCGAGACTGACATACTAGTTTTATCGTAAACGCGTTTTTTCTGACTTTTACTCGACACGATGGATATTTGTTCCCATTTAAACATTTCTCTCTCGATTCCATTCACATTTCTTTTTAAACCTTTCTCTTTTGACTTGCTCTCTCGATTCGATTTACGCTTTCTAAATTTCCCCTGAGCTAACTTAATTCTAGATTAATCATTTCTTCCCCGACTCTCTTGATTCCATTCATACTTTTTATTTAAACTTTTCTCATTTGGCTTACTCTCTCGATTCGATTTACGTTTCCCAAATTTTTGCCCTGATCATATATAACTCGACCTTAATCATTTGACGTTTTTTTGACGTCATTCAGCTTTAATGGTGTCGCTGACACGATGACTTGATAGTCTTTCGCGGCTCCTCGTTAATTGCAGTCGAAACATTATGTGTCTGTTGTTTTCTTTTGCCTTGATTTACTATGCTTGTGTTGTTCATAATGTTTCTTGCACGACGAAAATAAATTATCTGAATCTGTCTTTAGTGTTATTATTGTTTACGATGTTCGTATCCTCTTTGTAGTGTTATCAGTTATCACTATACCTTATACAGTTAGTGAGTTGCCACATTTTGGTGATCTGTTTTTACCATTAACAAAAAATCAATTACTAATTTTAACAAAATGATATTGTGCTATTTTATACTATTTTGCGTGATACTTAAAATTAAATATACACATTTCCGGTAGCGTGCTATTCCTGTGTTAAAAGCCTTCCACAATTAGACGTTAACGTGATAGATTCTTATTTATTACCAAACACGATACATTGTTTTATTTACTTATCATCAATGTGAAGGATGATGCTGTTTCTATGTTATGGCCAAAGCGTTAAATCAACTGGTAATATATTATTCGTATTTGCTATGACGCGTTTCGTAATTACGTTTTACATTAATTTTCTTGAAAACTACGATGCTAGCTTGACATACCAGACAAATAGATCCTGGAATGCGCAAGAAAGAAATATTTTCCGTCCAGACACGGACTGTCGTCGCCAAATTTCTGCGTTTTCCCAGACCTTAGATGCAAACCTTTAAGAATCAAAATAAACTAAAATGATACCGATGCTACTTACTACAAAACAAGCGCTGTGCAGCAGCCCTTGTTACAACATAAATTTGAGATCAATTTAAAAAAAAAAGTGAAGTCGTTCGGGGGCCACAAAAATTAGTTTGCGGGGCGCAGTTTGCCGATCACTGCTGAAGACCATGATTTTCTAAACCTTCTGTTCATCGGTATCCTTTGGGCAATTTATCGATTGGCTCGTGTTACCTAGGGTGACCATATTTCCAAACCTTAAAAGGAGGACACGTCGTTTGGTAGAACCTCATTTCTGTGCCTAAGATTATACATTATATATATGCTGAATTGAATTCTCTAGGATTAAAAAAAACATCCACAGAAGAATCAATTTATTTGTCATTAGACCATGAGTATTTGGCAGTTCCTTCGTGAATATTGTTGAGTTATTTTTTTCAATATCGTAGAACTGGCTGCAAGAAGTGTCAATCAAATTTAGTGGGTACAGAGAGAGAGATATTTATTTCGTAAACCAGAAAAAACAGTCATAATAATAAACAAGAGAGCTACGCACAAACATATGGACACGTTAGACCAGAGCGAATCAGTCTTTACCGGTACCTTTGACGCTACCGGCACCCTCAAAAAGTTCTGAATTTCCAGTAGCAAGAATTTTGCAGAATCAAAACGTACAGCCAGTCACGACACTGACTAAAATCCGTGTTCCCATGGATAAAAAATAATACAGCAAAATTTTAGACGAAATATCAAATTTCATAGAATTCACGCAAATTTTTCAAATAAATAAAAGTAATAGCCTTCTAGCGAAGAAATTAATCTTTAACCACTGAAAATTTCAAAGCAATTGGTCTAGTATTCGAAGAGAAAAGCGATTTTTTAAAAACGTGTCAAAGAACAAGAACAACAACAACATAATATTGAAACGATCGTTATGGCCACTAAAGGTGTCCAATAAATAATAGGTATAAAAAATACACTTTTTTCGGTATAGACTGGAAGGAGCGACACGACCATGCGGTCATCGAAGTCAGCCCCCTCCAAGTTTACGCTGATTAATTCACAGTAAAATATGACATATGACTATTAGAAATGATTAAAGTTCACGAAACAAAATTTGAAAAAAAAACAAAAAAATGAAGTAAATAATTTTTTTCCGTGAAATTAATTTTTAAATGATGAGATTTGTGAAATGAAACAGTTTGGGCAAATTTTCAACTATTACACTATTATTTGAAAGTGAGGAGTAAGCCCCACAAATAAAAAAAACAATTTTGGCTATTGGACTACTATACTCAAATGTAAATTTGGACACATAACAATTGTTCGAATCAGCAAGGAGCCAGCCTTACATTAGCAGCAGACTCAAATAGGAAACAAACTCAAATGGTTCTTTTGGCCATTGTGGCTGCAGTCAGGCAGTTGTTTATTCTATCACAAACAGAAAAATAGAAAATGCTCAAACTTTCGTCCGAGCATAAAAATATTTTTTTAAATATTTGAACCTGGGAAAACCTTCTTCATTAGATTTGACGTACAATTGTCAGATCTGTAACTCTGGTGATGTTTTACACAATGAAACATTCAAACGCTCCGGCAACAGCAACCTTTTCTCCAATATGAGTTGCAGGCGCAAAATATAGTCGGTCTCTTTCGCTGATGATGATTCTTCTCTAACAGCTGTTTTATGCTTGAACTCTCAATGTGCAACTGTTGCTAAGCTTGCCGTTATTCGCCACAGAAACGAAAGTGTCATAGACTCATAGCCGTATGTAATGCACTCCGCTTCGCTATCAGTTCACCTTTTCTAAAGCATGGATACTTTTTCCTTGTTCCTGAGTGATAAAGGTATTTCTTTCCGGAATAATTTATTGGGTCTGCTGACGTAATTTTCTGCCAAAATCGAAACTTTACTATATTGTGAAATACAACGTTAAATGACGTAAAAAATAATTGCAGAACAAAACGATTTTTACCTTATAAACGAGTATGCATTTAATAAGAGTGTGTATTCTATCACAACGCAATGCATTGCTTGTCATAGCCTATGTATAATGATATTACAAGTCTCTACTTACTTCAAAATTATCTTACCATATCAAAAGATATAATTTTAAATATTTTATCTAGTGAAAAAGTAGGACATTTTGACATTTTAGAGCGTCCTCGGAGGACGCAATTTTTTCAACGAAAAAGGAGGACAAATCCTCCAAAAGGAGGACGTATGGTCACCCTAGTGTTACCCCTAAATCAGCTTCTTTTTTTCGTGTTATGCTTGGACAAAACAGGCCATGGGAACTGTGAAAGTAAACTTGGGAGTTATTGTAGTTAATGCCTCTTCTGGTGAAAATGTGACTTTCAAAAGAGCTCTTCAAACAATTAAAATAAGGTGATAAAAAATATTTTATAGCAGATTAAAAGTCTTGGAATGATATCTAAATCTAAAGGACATCTAATCTTGAAAAGTCGAATGTACCTCTTGGGATACATGTACCCAGTGGTGGGATTCAGCCGGTTCGCACCGGTTCTATAGAACGGTCTCACGGAATTTTATGAGATCAGCGAACCGGTTAGCATTACTGGTTATTGTCAATGAATTTTCGCGTCTTATCTGACACACCAATTTTTGAGATCAAGTAGCTCACGTGTTATTTTCGAAATGTGAAATGATCATTTTCCCACGTAACAGTTATAAATTGTGTTAATTTTTATAATTGTAGTATTTTTTATAATTGTAGTGTGTTTTCAGTAGATCATACACCTTCAGATTTTAAAGTTCAATATCAACGAGTATATAATACAAAACATTATCAAATCATAGACCCATTTCGATTCTATCTGTTATTAATAAGGTATTCGAACGCTTGATTATTAGAATTGTACTTAATAAATCACAATTTGGTTTTCAAGCTAAACATTCCCCTTCGCATGCAATTCTAGACACCATATCACATATACATATACGATAAATTGGAGAAGAAGGAATATGTTAGTGCAACTTTCTTAGATCTTAAGAAAGCGTTTAACACCGTTTATCACCAAATCTTAGTCTGGACCTCCTGGAGTATGCGCACCAAGATGGCGTACAACCTGAACCCAGGTTGCGTACCAGGTTAGGGTTCAGGTTGTGCGACATCTTTGTGCGCATCATTTAGGAGTAGGCCTACCCTTAGTCTATAAGCTGTGACATTATGGAATTAGAGGAGTAGCAAACCAACCCTTGGCAAATTACTTGACAAACAGAACACAATTTGTTCAAATGGGTTCAAACTGATCCCCTACCTTATCTGTGACACATGGAGTCCCACAGGGATCATGCTTACGCCCGACATTATTCCTAATTTTCATCAACGATCTTGCACACAGCTGCAGATTATTTACAAAATTATTCGCTGATGATTCCAACCTTCTAGATAGTGATAAGTCTCCTGAAGTGCGTCAGTCCAGAGTGAACACTGAAATGAGAAAAGTAGCTAACTGGATGAAACTAAGCAAATTAACATTAAATGTGGAAAAATCAAAAACTATGCTATCAGCTCCAAGCAAATCCAGGTCACAGACATCTTTGAAAATTGAGATTGAAGGAACTATTCTTGATAACGTTAGCTCATTCAAATATCTTGGTCTTTATCATAAGAATCAAATAATCAAAATGGCAGACATTTATAAAATCGA